GAAAAAGTTGAAAAGAGATGCTGAGATTTAAAAAAAAAAGTTGTGCAAAGCATTGCACTGACCAGGCAAGTTTTCATGGACAAGGTAAAGCTTTTTAAGATTCCACCTGATATCATCTTGTGTGTGCGTGTGTGTGTGTGTGTGTGTGTGTGTGTGTGTGTGTGTGTGTGTGTGTGTGTGTGTGTGTGTGTGTGTATATATATGTATGTGTGTGTGTGTGTGTGATTTGTTTACAATCTTTCTCTCTTCAGTCTATTTATTACAAACCACAAACTTTATTTTTTATTGTATTGTACATCCAACGTTTTCTTATAAGTTTTGACAAGTTTTGTAAAATACAGGGGTTGAAAGCACTATGCTCAAGATGCATTTAATATAATAACACAATACATTTCCTTTTAAACTTCATTTAAAGGTTTTCCAATATGCAAAAACACTACACTCCTGCTAAAACTATAACTTCCTAAATCGCACAGTAATCATGAAAATATATAATTATATTAATCCAATAAGAGTATAATACAACACTGAATTTATGTTTTAGGTAAATATCACTCGTCAACTGCTTGAGCTTCAATATCAGGAAACATTTCTTTATTATCCTTAAAAGAATGGAAGCATAATCACAGAGCATTTGGTAAAAATAGTTCCCGAACAGTGTTTAGAGGGAGTTACACAGTCACAGGATGCAGGAATACCGGTTCAAGGCAGTACACATTGTTTTGTTTGGATTAGCTAAGGCTCACGTAAGACATGATCATGCTGTTCATCAGGGACGTGCGCAGACATTTTTGGGGGCGGGAGCTCAAGTGGGGAAAAGGGCACTTCCCATAATCATTTATAAAATAATGTTTTAAAACAAAAAGTGAAATATAGTTTCACAACTCTGACTTACTGACCAATTTATTTTAATACTCACACTCACGCAATTGTTTAATACTCAACAGAATTCTACAAAAATAATCAGTTAACACAGAGACGGTCTTCTATTCACTACGCACAAGAGCAGACAACAAACTAGTACAATTAATAGTTATTAAATGAACAGCCAACAATCAAAATTATGAAGTTACTGTTTAAGGACATTACAGGCAAAACATATCGTTTTTCATAGCTACTTGTACATTTTGTTATTTTGGTCTGTTTTGCTTCCATGTTTTCTTTCACTCTAATGGAAAGAAAACTTCAGGAAGTGTTATCCTTTTAACCTGCAATGCCTTGGTAACTGCATGCAAATTAGCGCATTTTAATTAAGATAAGAGATAAGATAGTAGTTTATTACCAGTGTACGCCTAATTTGCATATCAATGTGGCGATTGTGATGACGTTATTAGATACACATTCTACTGTATTCACATTTAGTGTCTCCCCTTAAGTACAGTATGCTACATTAGCCTGTATGCCCATGATAAATTGCCTTAGCTAAACCTTAATTGAGCTAACTTATCCATTAGCTAGCCTACCTTAGTTAATAGATTTGTTCTTGTCTTTTGGCGAATTAGCTGTAAACTCGAGGCACTCCACTCATCTTCAAACAAGCCAAGAAAAGCCGGCACATGGGACAGTAAAGTGGGAGGTGCTGCTACCTGTCTGTCTGAAGTGACTGCCGATGTCCGCACCGCTGTGCGCGAGAGGTGGACGGAGGGAGGGTAGAGAGAGCCTCGGAACTTCACAGTCTAATCTCCCGACCTGATATTTTTATTTTGTATTCAATCAATATATTTTTGGAAAGGGAAACTGTCCGCAAACAGCAGTAGGCTAGATATATATTCATTTATTTAAAAAAAGGGCACTTTCTCTGGAGGAAGAAAAGCGCAAGCCCACTTTGATGTCTGCGCGTGCCTGCTATTCATATGTCTACCTCCATAGGGCTGAATCATCATGTGGAGTCGGTGGACGCGCCGGCGCGTCCAAGTGCACATTATTTACGTATTTAATCATAGATTTACGCTTGTAAGGAGTAGAAATATGATTCAGATATCTGCGGATTCGCTAGAATCGTAGCTTTTCAAGAGTATCTCCTGTGAGACTGTACCCAGGGCACAGCAGCCAATATTGCCGCTCAAAGCAGCTTGATTCGGCGTTACACTGTGTGTGATTGGTGGATTTGTGTGTCAGTCAAGGACATCTCGGCCGGCCGGCAGCCATGTCGGTCTGAAATGACCAATGGACACTCTAGAAATCTAAGGACCTACCCACCAATAAAAAAACTTATAACAGGTGTCTCCCATCAGTTGCAGTCTTTGAGTCTGTGAAGAAGATAGAGAAAATGTCTCGAAGGAACTTTACCGTTGCGGACGCGCTGGATTTTATTTTCGCGAGCGGCAGTGAAGAAGATGGCTCATCAGAACCTGAAGGCTTCGACTCTTCTGAAGAAGAAGAATACAGGGACAGCAGGGATCCATTTGAGGATGGGTAAGTGTAAATATAACTTGTAGTGCATTTGCCATTTTGTGAGGAGTACCGCGAAAATGAACAATGGATTTATCAACCTTTTTATTTTCCCCTCATGAACTTTTTCTCGGGACAAAATAGACTCTTGATTAGTAAACGTTTACTCTGTGTAAATGTTATTTATGTGTAAACGTTATTTTGGTGTGTATAAGTAAGGTTATATGTGTAGATGCATGAGATAATCCTTTATTTGTCCCACAACGGAGACCTTTAAGTGTGTGTGTGTGTGTGTGTGTGTGTGTGTGTGTGTGTGTGTGTGTGTGTGTGTGTGTGTGTGTGTGTGTGTGTGTGTGTGTGTGTGTGTGTGTGTGTGTGTGTGTGTGTGTGTGTGTGTGTGTGTGTGTGTGTGTGTGTGTGTGTGTGTGTGTGTGTGTGTGTGTGTGTGTGTGTGTGTGTGTGTGTGTGTCACAATTTTTATTTGTTTTACAGAGAGGTTTCACAGCTGCCTGGGCCTAGCCCCACAGATGACATTTATCCAGGAGCCTCCAGCTGTGCCTGCCACCATGTTGAGATCTACCTTGGATCAAGGGCCTTCACCATCAAGGACTAGCGGACCAGCCTGCAACGAGGTCAAGATACACCTCAGCTCCACCACAGCCACAGCCATCACCATCAACCCGGACAGCAAAGAGGTCTCGTAGAGCACACGTACCTCCCACACAGCCACCAGCTGCCCATGCACCATCACCCCCACCTGCACAGCAGCCAGCTCCACTGTCTTGGAAGACCCTGACACTGCTCCCCCTGTCTCCAGGTTTCAACCTGCTCGCACACCCGGGCCACAGCTCAGCTGAACAGTATCAAACAAACCCCTTGACCTGTTCAAGCTGTTCTTCAGTGCACTAACAGTACAGACACTCTGTACCAACACAAACAAGTGGGCTGCACAGGAGATGGGAAAGGGTAAAACCTACAAATGGACTGACTTGACTGTAGAGGATTTCTATAAATACATGGGGCTGCTGAAACTGGACAATGTATTGGACTACTGGAGGAAGGATCATTTTGTCAGTGTATAATGAATAGTTGGTTGAAGGAAAAAAAGTTCTGATGTTCAATATTGTAAATAGTGAGATTTTGCAGTTATATTTATATACATTATTGGTATTATAATAAATTGTTGGTTGAAAAAAAAAGTTCTAATGCTCAATTCTGTTTTTTTTACACATCACATGAACCTTGGTATGTAATATGAAGTCATTATTCAGTCCTGATATATCTCAGTCCCTGCTGTGGTGAAAGTAGAGTGATTGACAGCTGTTTTACTCAGAATTCGAATTTATACAATTTCATTTTAGACATGAATAACACATGTATATACAGTGTAATTCAAATATTTCACTACTTTTTTAATCCTAAGACTTTGGTAACCAAATCTAAAACACCAAAACAATTCGATCACATGAGTACATTTGTGTTTTCACAAGAGTTTTGAAGATTTTCCGAAAATCGGATGGCAAATTTTAAGCTTTTGAGCTACTTATCTCATCAAACAGTGCTCTAAGGTGAGTAATATGCATATATAGCAAGACCAGAGATTGTCCTGAACATTTTGATATGTAACACATGGGGTGCCATGTTAGAAGAAATACATTTAAAAGGTGATTTAAGAAAACATCTAAAAATCGAGAAAATACCCTTAGACTCCAGAGGGTTAATGGTTGTCAGCTCATTTGTCTTCTAGATAATCATACATCCTGTTTCGTACACAGCTATATAGGGCCTTTGTTATCATGTGCTCTGACATTGGAACATTCAGTATGTTCCCAACAGAGACCAATCTGTAAAAAGTACTTTTGTTTCTGATAATACTTTTTTTTTGCGAAAATAATGAATGCTATTATTATATATTTTCTTTTTTTTCGAGAGTACTTTCCTTGTCTTTGACATATTTGTTTTAAAAAGAAGAATGGAGGTGGCTTTGAAAATAATGCTTTACAATTCAAATAAAACCACAACAAATGTTCAATGAAAGACATAATTGCTGTAAAAGGTGTCAAGTGCTACTTTAAACATTAAAACAAGCTGGTAAAATATGCTAATCTCATAAAGCATCGTGCCAGTGTGAAACAGAAGGACTCTAACCTTTAATGTGAAGGAACAAGAGGAGGGGGCTCAGTCCTCCTATAAGGATATCACACTATGTCTCTGAGGGCCACCTTGCCACCTGTGGAGCCTCAGGCTGCATTAATGATTAACACTATCAGACCCCAACACCGCCCTCTCACAGGAAGGGTTTCCATCAACACCATGACAGCAATGATTGCATTATTAGATGTGGCTCCTGCACACCGGGAGCATCTTATCAGCGGAGAGCTTTATTAGAGGCGATGCCCGAAGAGGGAGGGGCCACTCTTTCTTTTCCTGTCGGGGTATGGTGATAGATAAGTATAAGACCCACAAGAATGCGATCACATTGGAAAAAACAGTCATTGTGTTTCCTTGCCTCCAACATGCAGCAACTGATCCTGCCCGCTCTGCTGGCATCCTGCTGGACCGTCTGCTCAGGAGCAGGTGAGTGCCTCATCCAGAGCTGGGAAATATGTCTTTATTCCTCTCCTACAAAAATGTTCAATGTTGTTGGTTAATTAATGTGAGTAATTTATCTTTTAATACAAGCATTTCTTCTGCCGAATTTTTTGTCATGTTTCTTATCATTTTGATCAAAATCTGTGATGTTGTTTTACATCAAAACATGCAGGGGATACATGATTTATATCCGAGTTAACACGCTATTTGATTTTGCGCAACACATCAGAGCAATGACAACAGCAGGTGAAGTTGCTTTTTACCAGTTGTTTTCAACCGTGCTAGGCACTTTGTTCAATTAGAAAGTTGATTTATTGCGGAATCCCAAGATTCAATGACAGAAATCCGAAAAAACATTGAGAGAGATGATCTGCCAAAAAAAAAAAATCGTTAATCAAAGATCAGCAGCTCAAAAACCGCCTTCGTGACGCACACACACACCTGCCCTGTCCATCCCACTGATCTGTGCGCGACGCGCTCATCTGCAACCTATCCGTCTCAGCTCCATGTTCAAGGAGACGAGAGGATACAGGGATCCTGGATCAGCTGAGCCAAAAGCAAAAGCAGGCAGACCCGACTGAGCTGCTGAGACTCTCTCAGTCCCGACACAGGTCTCTCTCCCTCTCTCTCCCCTCTCTCCCCCTCTCGTGCACCTGCTCTTCTGCACACTGAGCCAATGGCAGACATTTGGGTCCTCGCTGCCGCAGAGAGACGCGCCGAGCTGCTCTCCGCCAATGTCTCCACATTCACAGCGGGGGATTGTGACCCAGAGGTTTGGAACCGACACTAATAGAGTAAATTATGAGTAAGTAATGACTGGCGGCTGAGTAAGTGACGAAGCTCTTTGGTCGTTGTTGGTGCGATTAATTATTAGTCATTAACTAATGCGCACACTTGGAAGAAAATGTCACAGGCTTTCCCGTGCGTCTTTCGATTGAATCCCAAATATTGTTCTTCTTTTAATGTGTCTTTTCAATAATATGATCAAATTAGGTGTAGTAGATTATCTTGCTGTCAGCCCAAGACACATTATGTAAACAAAAACACACCTATGTGACGCAAAAAAAATGTCAACTATTTTGGCAGTATTTGTTTTTTGGAAAAGCTCCAGTTGACACTATTACTCGATGTGCGCTCATCATGCAGTGTTGAGTATAGCATCGCTGCGCCTCCAAACTGCAGCGCCTTGACTGAGCTATGCCTAATGCTGCAGTGTTTTTTAGAGAGGCTTCTGAGTTTTTGGGGTAAAAAGGAAACATTTTCAAACAATCCATGCCGTTTTTTGTGATTGCATTGGCAAAAGAAAAGGCCGAGTGTAAACCAGTCCTCATGTGGGAACCCTAAACCTCTCTCATCTCGAAGTTGGAGAGCCGTTTTGGCACACAAAGGACTGGCAAAGGATTTCATTCTCTCTCTTTTTTGTAAGTGTGTATGCCGCCTCCACAGCGCACTCGCGCGACACAATGGCATTAAAACCTCCGTTTGTCTCCGCCGCGCGCACGCAGACGTGGCCTATATTGGTTTTCCTGGCGCTGCCTTTTGTTTTCTTCTTCACAGTTTCCTCACTTTGCTCTCTTGGCAGAGATCTCAGATTCATTGAAACACATTCATATTGTTCGTTTGCGCTACGGCTCACGGAGATCAAAGCCCGGCGTTTATTGGTCAAGAATTGTGCGGACAGAAATCTGATTGGCTGAGAGAAATACGCGCGACAGCAAGTCGTAAAAATAGATATGTCTACTCACAGACAGTGATGTTTAAGTAAAACAGACCATAAATATCGAGTTGAAAACGTTATATTAGGCCTATAATATATTAGTTTGAATTATTTTAGCAAGGTTTGTATAAAGTATTGGAAGTAAAGCTCCAGGTTGTGTTAACGATTATTATTTCTGTCCTGTAGTTGTTGTTAGAGATTACACTATATTAAAATACTTTAATGACAGTTAGTTGAATCTATAGCAGTATACTTTATGTTTTATGAGCTGTGTTTTGTATTAATGTACTCATTGGTTAAGTAACCAGTGAATTTAGCAGCCAAATAAATGCATTGGAGTACATTGTACAATCATTTCCCACTGAAATTAAGTGGAATAGACATATAAAGTAAAATAGAATACCCCTATGATAAAACAATATATATATACTGTCACACTATCACAGTTATCAGATGTACATTATGTATTAGTATGATTTACAGAGCATGAATAAAAGTATTATTCGACTTTAGTATACACATTTCTTTGCATCAACCAACACTTAAAATACCATGGATAGGAACACATTAAATATATATATCATAAGTATTTTATTGGTGGGTTTTTAGTTATTTACTCATTGATGGTTAAATCACTTAAATGTTGCAGCTAGTAAAGTAATCACATGTTTGTATATTGTGTATTGTATGTCTGATTATCCAGAGGAAATAGTAACTAAAGCTGTCAAATACTTGAATGTTGTAAAGTAGTATAAAAATGATGAGCCGAATAAAGTATAAATAGGTCAGATTTGTACTAATAAGAGACCTCTGATTTTAGGATCTAGAATTATAAGATTCATCTTCAGTTGTTTGTTTGCAAATCCATCAAAAATAACAACAATATACAAATAAATCGAAAACATTTGCATCTCTTTATGCCCGGCCACCAGTACCTTGAGTGTTGGCACCAGTGAATACAATGTGGGCCCCTCTGCTGTATTTATATTCAGTAGGCATTATCACGCCAGAACAGGAGGTAGCAGCTAACCAACCAAGAAACAAAACAGAGACTTCCTTCACACAAATGGGGAGAAGTCCTCACACCAATAACAGAGCGGGGGACTTTGCTCGTATTTTTTCAATGGCATGTATGTTTTTTTATAAATATTTGATTTCTTAGATAGATGCAGATATTTGTTTCAGAGTACGGGGTGGAATCATGCAAACCAATTGTTAAATATTAATAAACCTCGAGACAAACATGTGACAATGGCTGTTTATTTTGATAGCACGAAAAGATAAAGCACAGGACAGCTACTTCTTGTGTAGGAAGACAATTCCTTTGTATAGGGGGTTTTGTATGGCCGGTAAAAACCGCTTACTTAAGCAACATGAGAACAATCCACTGTTTGCAGTAAGGGAGAACAAATCAACTATAAATATAAGGTCACATTTGTAAATAGTACACAATGGCAACCCAGCGGGACAGTGTATATGCTCATCACAATGGGCTCACTCAGGCTTGCTTGTGTCACACAGAGGGTTATCAATGTGTGTGTGTGTGTGTTGTGTGTGTGTGTGTTGTGTGTGTGTGTGGGTGTGTGTGTGTGTGTGTGTGTGTGTGTGTGTGTGTGTGGTGTGGTGTGTGTGTGTGTGTGTGTGTGTGTGTGTGTGTGGTGTGTGTGTGTGTGTGTGTGTGTGTGTGTGTGTGGTGTGTGGTGTTGTGTGTGTGTGTGTGTGTGTGTGTGTGTGTGTGTGTGTGTGTGTGTGTGTGTGTGTGTGTGTGTGTGTGTGTGTGTGTGTGTGTGTGTGTGTGTGTGTGTGTGTGTGTGTGTGTGTGTGTGTGTGTGTGTGTGTGTGTGTGTGTGTGTGTGTGTGTGTGTGTGTGTGTGTGTGTGTGTGTGTGTGTGTGTGTAAAATATTTCCCATTTTCTGTGTTTCAGATTGGTGCTATCAGTCGCAGTTCAGCTGTGATCATCCTTGCAATGGTAAGACTTTTTAAATAGGATAAGTGAAACATTGTTTGATTATGATAACACTTTATTTATATAGTGGTTTTAAAAGCTAATTACAAAGTAGTTCACACAGGAGATAAAGCTACCACAAGTGCAAACAAAATTGTAATGTAACATTTAAATGAAATATAGAAAAAATGCAGCACAGAATAAAACACTTTGAGAAAATAACCCTGATTTGGCTGATGTTTGGAGTTGTACTGACTTGCAATACTTATAGAGTTACAGTTATGTTATGATGATGCAAAACAACATGGAATATGCTGTTGTTTGCAATTGAAAAAAGATTGAAAATTGCTATTTTGTAATTGAAATATTTAATCTAAAGGGAAAATGGAGAAGACTATGGACTGATCCATGTGGTACTCCAATAATACATTTGGTGGTTGAGGATTTACAGTCCCTGAGATGGCACTCAACATGTTGTGCTCCAAAAAAGTAATTAAAGAATCTCAGGAACAATGGGTCTTTCCAGAAGTCATGATCGCTTTATGTGATATAAAGTGACTGAACTTGTGGTGCTTGGTGACAAAAACCTTTTTCCTTCTATCGCAAAACCAACCAGAAGGAACTCTATCCTATATGGGTGAAAGGCTCTTGCCAACTCGTACCATTATCTCCAATACTTGGCAAATCACAACCGCAATTTAGACTACAAGTCAGAAGAAAATTATCTGTTTTGATTTTAGGGTTGAATGTCCCTTTTTAAATTTGTATTTTTCTTGTTTTAGGCCCAGAGAAGTGGAACCACGCGAACAGCAAATGTGAAGGAAAACAACAGTCGCCCATCAACATCGTCACCAGAAAGACTTTAAAGGATGAGAGACTGACTCCTTTCAAGTTTGATAACTACCAGCAGATCTTCAGAGGCACGATCAAGAACAACGGCCACTCAGGTGAGCATATGTTCCATCGGATAGCCTTCAATGCAGTTGAGCTGTTATGTGACATTTGGTGTTTGTCTTCTACAGTTCAGGTGGGAATTTCTCACCTGAGCACCGTCTCAGGTGGAGGCCTGCCAACCAGCTACAAGGCGGTGCAGTTCCACCTGCACTGGGGCAACAACGGGGGGCCCGGCTCCGAACACACCATCGATGGAGAGCAGTATCCCATGGAGGTATATTAACCTTAAAAACACACACAGCTTGTCTTTAGTGAAGGTTAAGGATCAGGTCTCTGTTCCTGTTTTTATTGTACAATGCCTTTTCTTTTTATGCTGCTACACAAACAAATTCCCAAATTGGGATCAATAAAGTACCATCTTATCTCTTATCTGTATGGATTAAACATTTCATATGTGAATATACTGTAAATTCTATATTTTTCTCACAAAAGAAAATGAGTGCATTAGTCCACCTTTCAATGCTGACTTCCCTACCTGACTGTGGCTCCCAGCCTCAAGCCCATTAATTCCTACTCAATATATTCATATTTAAAAAGAGGGCACAGATATATTGCTGTAGTTTTTGTTTTTTTACAAAGGCTTGAGTAGTGTTTTGTTTGGAGCAATTTTCTGCCATAGATTAAGCGATTTAGTGAGTATTTATAGCAGCAGAAATGTGTATAAAGGGTTGACTCATGCTGAAGGAACGTGTCACCCAGTGTTATGATGTGGATCACTGATTATTGAAACAGAGCTCGCTGGCACAGATGAATGAGATATTTCAGGCTTTGGATAAACAGGCATGTTTGTACAATAGCTTTGGTCTTCAAGTCATTTGTTGAGAATAAATAATGTCACCAGACTTAAAGGTGTCCTATCATACAAAATGCACTTTTTGATGTCTTTTATACATAAATATGTGTCCCCGGTGTGCCAGGGAACTCACAAAGTGCCTCTCTCTTTTACTCCGTACCTACATCTCTAAAAACGGGGGGTACAATGGAGCTGATTCTGATTTGCATCGCATATGAAGTAATATCGGAAATGTGGGCTGGCTTTACACCCACGGCCCTATCAGAAACGTCGCTATCAGAAATAATGCGCGACGTGTTTTGGACATAATATGGTCTTGGTTTACATTAGCAAGCATCGCTAACACTCACAACTAACCTGTACTGGAGAGAGTATGTGTAAAAAAAGCAGGAAATAAAAAAAGGAACTTACCTTGTGGTAAACCCGCAAGACAATAAGCATTTAAACTCCATACTGTTTCAGAAATAATCCTTGAAGTGGTTTGGAACATGATATGGCGTTTAATCACGGCATGCATTTATTAGCTGCATCTGAGCAGAGCATTAACTTACAGTGTGCCTGCTGCTCAAAAAGGGGCGGTGCCAGCAGAGAATCAGCCATTCTCTAACAGGGCTGAAATAGAGGGCTATCAGGTATTTTGAGGTGCTAGGTATTTTTTAGCAAAACACATATAGATATGTTTTTTTATATATCTGATATAATGATGATTTAAATGGTCAAAATTACCGATTGGGCCTTCTCTCACATTTAGATAGAAAACTGATTCACTTGAACTGATATGTCAAGTGTTCAATTCTTAAAGCATGGAATCTACTCAACAAACTAAAAAGGCACTTAGAGAGAGCATGAAAAAAAGTCAAATATAATATATGTATGAGAGATGGAATTGGGATCCACTCGAAAACGTTATGTTATTCTTTGACAACATCCTTCCACCAAGTTTTTTATGAAATAGGTCTAGATGTTTTTCTGTAATTCTGAAAACAAACTTAAAAACCAAACCAAAAATGTTGGAAGAGGCACACATTTTACACACACTGTTAAACATGACTGTTTGAAAGTGGTAACATCAGCAATTTTGTCTCCACAGCTGCACATTGTGCACATGAAGCACCATTACACTGATCTGACAACAGCCCTTTCAGACCCAGAGGGAGTTGCAGTCCTTGGGTTCTTCTACGAGGTAACCATTTGAAATCCTGTATCCTTGAGATCAATCTGTTTTTACAGAACCGACTATGTTAGGATGACACAGTGCTGAAATGTGAATTTATATTTCCAGCAGTCGAATAGGGCAAACCGAAAGTATGAACCCATCATCAATGCCCTACGAAGCATCAAAAATGCAAGTAAGTTGTTAAGTTCAATTATAAGCAAGTAAAGAATGCTGGCTGTTCAGCAGTGATGCCAACAATTTATCTATGGCTTTTCTGTTTTCAGATGGCAACACTTCTCTGCTTCCCGTCTCCCTGGCACAACTCATCCCAGCTGAGCAGAATCTGACCAGCTACTACCGCTACAAGGGCTCTCTGACCACTCCAGGCTGCACTGAGGCTGTGGTTTGGACCTTGTTTGAGAGTCCCATCCCTCTAAGCATGGAACAGGTTAGCATTAAGACTTCAATCTTCAAACTTGCTTAAAGGTCTCCTATTATACTATTTTTAGACATATAGGTCTCAGATATATAAATATATATTAAAAAACATGTCTATGAAGTGTTTTGCTCAAAATACCAATCTGATTTTGCATGATAGGAGACCGTTAAAACATTCCCGATATCTAACTAAACATTTCTACTGTGTTCCTTTTCATAATGACCATGTAATAATTGAAGTATAATGAATAGGCTAGATTAAAATATGCCAGGGTCCCAACATATAATCACCTTGTCCTTGTCCTGAAAAAAAAGAGAACCTCTGCTTGAGCTTTTGCTAGGTTCCTATAACTTTTTTAGTGGAATACTGTTTTTTTTACCTCATTGTGCCCCTGTTGGAGAATTAAAAGGTGGAATGTGATGGAATTTGGTGGACCTCATAGACATCTAAAATGTGACAAGGGGCCCCAACAAAACACTGCTCTTTTGTAAGCAGTCACATACCATACAGTTGGGGAACCACTGGTCAGCAATGTGTGGTATTTCATAACCATTCATAAAACCTCTTTTATAATTTTTTGTAATCAAAGCTGTCAGATAAAGATAATTGAGTAAAGAGTAATGTTTCCCTCTGTAGAAGAGTGAAAGGTATAAAGCATTGTTAAATGGAAATAAACAAAGAAAGTACAAGAAATACAATATTGTACTGACATTTAGACCCGTTGTGTCCATCTTCTATCTTCCTCCAGTTGCGGGCGTTCTCTGAGCTCAAGTTTCAAGATGGAAACTCGATGATAGAGACCTACAGGCCGGTCCAGCCCCTGAACGGTCGGCAGGTGTTCCGGTCGGACGGCGCAGTGATCCTGGCCAGCTCCGCCCTCCTGATGGCCACCATCGCCACGGCCTTGGGACTATCCCAACCCAACTAAAGCGAAGCATTCCGTGCTGCACTGCGACATCCATGAACAAAATTAGTTCTGTATCACTCCTCAGCTGAACCCCGGTTTGTAACATCCTCATCGCATGGTAGCTAAGATGATAGACCACGTCGTAGTGCAGGCAGGACTTACAGTGTTCCCCTCTTACAACACAAATGACCGAGGCGTTTCAGGAACGTCTTACGAATGGTGCTGTAAGGGTTCGATCAGCATTCATGCATGCATAGCAAAGTCTCATTTCAGCATTGTGAATGTGCCATAAAGCAGGTTACCAAGCACTCAAACTTAATTCAAACGTAACATCAGATCCCTGAGTCATGCACTCATTTTACACAGCGTCATCCTACACCAGCAAACACTCGCACACTTTAGACCGTGCACACTCCTGGTCCAATGTCAGGTACATTTAGCCTCTGCTTTATGTTAGTGCCAGTGGCCATTGTTTGTGCCAATGTCAGCCTCACAACCCGCACGTGATTTGCAGTTCTCAATGGGGCGTGTGAACGGCACAGAGCTATTAATAGCAGAACTGAGTCAAATAAACACGCTCCATTTCAAAGCCAGCGGTCAAAGGAGTCAGCAGATTGGCTTCTCTTTCAAAGTCCAGGCGGGCACGCCGAGGCCGGCAGGTGAACCCGTGCAGCCACTCAGTCAGCAGTTAGTCTGGGAAAAGAGGGAGGTTAAGGGGTGTGAGGTCTTGCATTTCTTCATGGGAATGCAGTGTCAGGCGCAGAGCTGCAGTCTTTTACCTATATAAGTCAGAAGCCATGTTAACACCTGGCATTCACATGCGCATCAAGTGATCTGATCACACGTGGAAAGATCCAATGCGTCAGTTCATACCAACAACAACGTAAAGCAGCATGATACACGCATGGTACGTATAACGTAATTTCTCCCGTGTGTTTTTGTAGAACATTTTTACTTTTGAAATCAATACTCATTGGAAATTCCTCCTAGTCAAAGATCTTGAAGTGTTTGACCCCTTGTCAGCAATTAATCTTCTAGTATGAGAACAACAACTGTAAGCCTCCCGATTATTAGAAAGAAAGTTTTGCAGAGTGAACAGTACGACTTTAAAAGTTGTGATAATTAACCTTGCTTTACTGAGTGATCAAATCTTAATGAGTCTTCAATGCATCTTGGGAGTAGTCAACCCTGTACTTAGAGTTGATCAATTGTGATGGGATCACCAAATAATGCATGTAAACGCCAGGTGTGAACAGGGCCTTTACTACAAACACCTGGAACAAAGATGACGCTGCAGAGAGGCTAATGTTTATGCTAATCAAGGTAGGGCCAGCCTGGTTTCAGGGAGAAGAGAAGATCATCTGTGGCGCGAGGAAACAGTTATCAACCTGCACATTAAAAATAAAATCATTATTTGTATATATATATACATCTCGAACACTTGCATGACCCTGCATGTCTTGATGTTCCAGTTAGTGAGCTGCGTGAACATGGCTGCTTGAGTTAAGCGGCACACACACAAAACTGTGCTTGCCAAATTCATACACACTCAGGCACTTAATTTCCCATGTTTGACCCATGAAGTTCAGTGAGCTTATTTTAACGAACATGTGACTGCGTTCATGGCTTGTATTACAGGGTCTCAGATGCACTGAATGTTATCGACTGTGAATGACACCACACTGAGTTCTCACTCATTTATTAAGGAGGACATGTTATGTATTCTATAGTCAAAGATCTGAGAGCAAGTATTTATGAGAGGATCAAGCAAGGAATCTGTATATTTTCCATTGTTTCATAAGGAATCAAGTTATCTTTCTATGCTGTGTCATTGTACACAATATGTATTTATGTATTGAATGTGTATATTGATATGAGATGCACAGTTATCGTTATTTATGTATTTCAATGTTGATATATGAATGCTAACCCATATATGAAGCATCAAGTTGTCCAATCGAGTTTACTTATGCTGTCAAAGTGTATGAGATTGTCAGGTTGTAATGCTTAAAAGTGTCATGAATATTTTGGAGAATGTGTTCCAACTGAACAAAAGCAATAAAATACTTACATACCTTTTTAATGACAGTCTCTTTTGCTTGCACACGCACAATACAAGCAATATGAACCAGTGATCAAAACAGTGTTTAGCTTCAGTGTCAGCCCTGCATCTCTGCTTCCGCACTGTGAAAACTGATACCTGAACACACTCTGTTGGCTCTGTCGTTTGTCTGCTGGCTCAGACACACAGACAAGCGTCTCACTTTTCCCGTCTGATTCCCCTTCAGCCTGTTAGGAGAGTCTGAGGGCACACAGATCTCTATCCCTTAATCCTTTTCTAATTGACTTGTGTTTGATATTATAGAGGCTGTTGTGGCCCAAGTGCACACATAGTAAGTAATACAGTGTTGCATCATAGCTCTCTATGCTTAAAACACCTGTTAAATTCTATACAACACTGAGTCTGCAATCTATAAGATAGATTGCAGGTGTTTTTTTTTTACTTTATCCTCTTCAAGTTATATCCCCTACCCCCTTCTTTTGCTTTTCTCTCAGTCATTAAGAAATCAAAAGGCTTATTGTGATGGGCAGGCCTAGGAAGACACCAGCCCTTCACAGAGACACGCACGAAGACAGAGTTCAGACAAAAGCTTGAATGAAAGCCTCTCCTTCATTCCCCTGCCCGGGCCTCTATTGCTTCTCCAGATAAGCATCAGGACAGACCGGTGATCAAAGGGTGGATCCTTCATATCTATTAGGGTTACTTTGGTCTGCTAGTCAGGCTTCTAGGAAAGCACCCATACAACCTCACTAACTCCTAAATCTACCTTGAAAGCCCCATGTCCCTGGGGTCTCCGGGACAATGGGCACCATTCTCCGCAGTAGAAACCAGAGGCATCCTCATATTGAAAGTGACCCTTTCTGAAACACTCACAGCAGCCCATCAGATATCCAGCTGCAGTTAAAGGTCACTGGGCCGCTCTTTGTCCATGTGTTTAAGAGAAAAACAAACAGTGCCACCTTTAGTGGCTCTCTATAGTCCCTTTCACACATGCACTGCAAGCCTGACATGATTTGAATGACATGGAAACGCAAATGTTCGAAACAGTTCAATAGAAGCTCCCTGTAGTCTGTTCCTATTTCAACCCATTTTGAAGGGACCCACTAAGCAATGCAATTGCCGTTGATGACGTTTCTATCGCTGCTGGCTAAAACTTAAATAAGGGTAATTTACACAAAATGGTAACAAAATAAAGAGACAACAAATCAGGAACTTCTGTTAATGTACATTGTCCGAAAGATTCAAGGTTCAGCAAGAAAACTGACCAAATTCCAAACATAAAGTTGTTTTGCGTATAGGGTGGTGCCTCCTCTGTTCTATATAGGTCCATAGGTCCTATCCCTTCCTTAAACTTACCAAAGCATTTCCAGTAAGTGGGAAGGCTTCTGAAACGGCCAATCTCCTGTTGTGTGCTACATGTGAAAGGAAACTCTGGACAATGTGCTGACCTTCTTCTCTGGACATTGTCTGAAGTTCATACGAGAAAAGGGCTCTGTGATGTCCCTTCTTCTTGCATCATGAACGGTCTGTTGATGGAGGCTAAATGTTTGTTTAAGAACCGAGCTGTCAGCTAGGGATATCTGTGGCCCAATTAACTTTGCTCTAATTCAATGATTCACCTTATTGTGCTGCCAGTGATATATATCTCACAGAGGTGTCTGCCAGCAATGGCGGTCATAATGTTAACGTTAGCCAACTGTGAGGAAAGACTCCTCTCCTGCCACGTCATGTGGCAGCACATAGCAGCTAGCCAACCACAGGGAAGCTGGAGGAAGCAATCTACCATGGGCCAAACATTAATTTCCTCTTAAATTGAACTCAGGTGAGATAGGCTATGAGCAGAATGTTGCTTTGTCCTTTAGCACACAAGGGCTTTCATTCAAGAGAAACTGCAGCAAAGCAGCAGGGGACCATCAACTGCTAATATCTTTTTTAGGAGCTATCACAGCACAGACACTGTTACAGCCATTAGCATACATTTCCCATCAGTGGAGATGAGAGTCATCTATACACAGCGGCTGACCGGTTTACATCCAGTGCGGAGAACGAATGTGAAGCGACTTAAAGCCTTTTGATCTCACAGAGCAGGACAATGGGTAAATCACCGGTTTTAAAAAGCCTTTTCAAAAACATCATTCTTCCTTTCAACAACACTTGAGTTTCAATTGCTGCGGAGGTCAGAGGTCATAATGGACAAAACCTCAAAGTGAACTGTGGTGTCTTAATCTGGGAGCCTCGTTTGCATCCTGCTCAGCGCTCTGGTCCACTGAGGTGTTCCAGGAGCACAATGGTATCTGGTTGAGAGGCAATGAGCTGAGCTGTGCAGGCAGCCCGATGAAAGTGGAGTCAGTAAAGCAGACAGACCTGGCTCTGAGGCCGGCCGACGAGAGTCAGCTGAAGCGAGAGGTTAACCAATGTAATCCCTTTTGGAGCAGCAGCTTTGGGAAAGTGATCTTGATTACTCTGGCTCAAAGTTCATGGAGGGATAAGACTGTTTGATGCACAGATATGGAAGAAAGCCCCGGTAGACTAATACATGGATACTATTCAATTAAAAGAATTCCCCTCTACAGTCAGGGGGATTTCTGTCATTAATTGTGAACACAATCGGCTCACCCCTTTCTCAAAGGAACTTGAAGGATAGAATCAGATTTTTGGAGTCTGACTCAATGCACATGTGACAGTATGTACAGACATAGATTTAGCAGTTGCTGTAATCTTCCCTCCTGTCCATCCTGGCCCTGAAGGAATCCTCTCCTAACATGATTCTAGTGTTCGTGATGGTGAACAAAATTCACCCCTTTCATTCTTTAAAAAATGTATTAAATATCCAACCAAAACAAATATAACTAATTTTGTAAGTCAAGTCAAATATGCGCCTTCCATGTGTTTTTATTATATATTATACTTCAGGTTTATTACCTCTACCTTTCTTTTGTGTAAAGGGAACACTCAAACAACAAAAAGAGGGGATTTTGCAATAAATACATATTTAATATGTCAATGAAGAGACCAACACACTAGCACAATTATTGTGTACCATACACTTCTGTGTTAGTGATGTACAAGACAATTATTTTCACCGTATCAGTTCATTTTAATATGATACAGGTACATTTATCCAACCATTCAGTCTGTGCATGTTCAACCGCAAGCTCTGCCCCATTTAAATAAATGCACAGGCTTGCAGGTGCACACGTGTGTTTGTGGAGCCTGTCAGACTTGAGAACATGAGAGCATAATTGACATTGAGGTGAACTTGATTTATATGGTTTCCCCAGCTTCATAAACCTGAAAATAAAATGGAAAGTATTTTTTTTGGAAAAATAAACATAATATTTTGAGTAATGACATACTGTATTTCATACCTTACAGTGCTCATTATGGCATAGCTGTGTGACTCTTCTCTTGTGGTCTCCTTCATCCTCATACAAAGGATAGCAGTTTATGTGTAAATATTGATATGTATTGCCGCACAATAGAAATAGGATTATGTTTTTGATTTACATGCTGCCCATAGATATATGAAAGACATGTTCTGATAGTCATAGAAAATAGATTTTAAGATCACCTCAAGTAAAAGTCCTCCTATGGGCAAACACAGTAAAAGAAGGGATATTAAATGGAATGATATAAAGATATATGCACAAAGATAACTGAGGATGTTGATTTTGTTGCACTTTAGTTGAAAAGTTAAAAAGGGACACTCCATTATGACCCGAGCGCACACTTGGACAGTGGTGGCGTTAATCGACAGAATGAAGGTTAAGGCTGGGCAGAGAGACTGACCTCTTTTAAAAACAAAGTTACCTTAAGAACCAGTGCTCACAAAGGGCCTGAAACAAATATGGTAAAATTGTTCTATTTTTGACAACAGTGTCATTTGGTTTCATTGTTCTGGGGGTTACAGGCCAGTGAAGGCGGTGATGTTTCTTGTAAAAATGTTCCCTACATGTTGGCTGAACTAGATTTATGACAGGTTTTCCTGAAAAACTGCTGTGGAATCAGACTACTGTACTTTACAGATCACCAGGTGACAGTCTATTTTCAATAACCATTAAAAACATTACTTTGTACATTTTTGTAGTTTTTTAAGTTAAAAAAAGGAATGGGTTCTAAACAGATTTCCTGCCATATTTAACTCTCCTCTCATATCCTGTTCAAGACTATGCTTAGCAAATGTTGCCAATACAATTTCCAAATCCACAGATGAGGATGTGATGATGCACATTCTGTTATGTTCCTATAACTTTAAATTAGGGCTGTTAAGTTAACGCGTTAATAACGCGTTAACGCAACAAAAACATTAACGCCACTAATTATTTTAACGCGATTAACGCATGTGTATTTTGTGTCCTCGGCCGCCCCGTAGTTTCAGAGCGCATCGAGTTTAAAATACCATCTACAAGCTGATGCTGACAGCCCCGCTCCTGCTGCCCGCTTGCGGCAGTATTTTATACTTTGTATTGTATTATTGAATGAGAGATGTTCCAGGTTGAATTGAGGCGAATATTTGTAATGTTCAGAGGTTGTTGTGTTTAATATTCATGAGAATATTTGTCATTGTTCAAATGATAATAACATTTGCATAAAGCATATTTATCCACTCATATGTTGATAAGAGTATTAAAAACTTGAAAAATATTCTTCTAAGGTACATTTAGAACAGATAATATATGTGCGATTAATTTGCGATTAATCGCGATTAACTATGGACAATCATGCGATTAATCGCGATTAAATATTTTAATCGACTGACAGCCCTACTTTAAATACAATTCATTATTCACTGGTGCCAGAACTTTGTCCAAGCTGTTGACGACCCTGTTCAGCCGGACGTCGTGAGGAGGCAGCGTGCATTCTCATTTTCCACTTATTTAATTGATTTTTCACTGAGTTATTCTGACCAGCCTCAATGACAGTGAAAGGCTGCTGCCTGCCGGTACATCATGACAATCCCCCACTGCCCACCAGCTACCTCCCACCCACCATCCACCCCTGGCACTCACACATACCCACAA